AGACAAAACCGCCAACGCGCTCCGCCCAGCCCCACCATCCTCTCTCCAACTAACCCCCCCATCCAGCCCCCAAGTCTCCTCCGCCCTCTTCTTCCAAGCCAACACCGCCCTCGGCCCCCCCTACTCCGTCCTCGTCGACACAAACTTCCTCTCGCACACCGTGCACGCCAAGCTCGAGCTCGACAAAGCGCTCATGGACCTCCTCTACGCCAAAGCCACACCTATCATCACAACCTGCGTCATGGCCGAGCTCGAGAAACTCGGTCCAAAATACCGCATCGCATTACGAATCGCCCGCGACGAGCGCTGGCAGCGGCTCAAGTGCGAGCACAAGGGCACGTATGCGGACGACTGTATTGTGGATCGCGTGCAGAAGCATAGGATTTACCTTGTGGCGACGAATGATAGGGATCTTAAGAGGAGGATTCGCAAGATTCCTGGTGTGCCGATTGTGAGTGTGGCGAAGGGGAAGTATGTTATTGAGAGGTTGCCGGATGTGCCTGATAGTCATTAGATGGGGAGGGTGGTGGGGATGGGAGGAGGGCAATGGGTTATTTGCATAGCGAACGGCGTTTGGGAGATGCTAGTAGGTAGTTTTATCTAGAGAAGCATTCGGGAGTCATAGTCACAAAAGGTATACATTAGCCCAGGTATGTTGTGCATGATTCAGAGGTTACTGTTGCAGACATGGATGGCACGTGTTAAAACACATATTGTTGGGCGAAGTTTGGCATGAGTATCGGGGATTCATGATGTAGTAATTATCGACAGTCTATATGAGTTCAGATACAGCGTCCCGCATGGCATCCGCCGACCGGACCCTTCTCATCTACCCATCATCTCAACATCTATAGGTCAGACGCCTACCAATGCAAACAACCAACTCGCTCCACAATGCCGAACGCTCCACAAGAAGAAGGGGAAGAAGAGAAAGGATAAGTAAGAGGTATGGAGAAAGGCGTCATGAGAAGATGCTCCTAGTACACAGAGCAGCTAGTCTGAGCCCTCGTAAGAGCCTGCGTAAACATAGTCTGCATAGCCATGTAATGGAAGATGATACCTCCCAGCACAGCCACATGCCAGATGTTGTGCGAGCAGCCCACGTAATCGAAAAGGCCGGGGAAGAAGCGTTCAGGTGTCTTGCTCGCGTACAGTAACGCACCGGTAACGTATACAAGTAGACTCTTAGTGATGGGCGCGTAGAAGTACTGCGCCCACTCAAGGCCACGGGTGTAGGCGAGCTGGCCAAAAGGCAAGAAGCCGGTCAGGGCGAGAGAGCAGTAGAAGAGGACGCGGAACCAGGCCATGTCGGCTCGGTTAAAGGTTGGGTGCCAAGGTAGGATCACGCCACCGATGCCGAGCAGTGCTGTTATGCACATGTAGGACCAGCGCGAGACGGGCTCGCAGTAGAAGGCGGCGTATTCGGTCGTCATGATGGATGCGGCGACGAGGAGAGAAATGCCCGTGTAGTCTACGCAGGCGAAGCGCTCGAGCAGCGTTTGGTGCGAGATGCTGTTCATGGTGTGCCAGATGGTCGAGCAGGCCAGACACTTGCATGCCGCAAAGAAGAAGACTGCTGCTATGAAGATATCGGCTTTGGTCGACATGCTGAAGTTGGTGCTCGAAGGATAGAAGTAAAAGGCAATGGCGAGCACCATGATGAATCCGAGAAGGTGTGTCCAGATATTAATCAGCTCGTTGTGAAGGCCGAAGATGGATCGGACGCAAGCCCACTTTCCTTCTTGGAAGCGGTAGCCTTTGAGGATGTGTGGGTTGACTCGCCATGGCTCGGGCAGGTCGTCGTAGCGTATCAGGCCGTGTGCCTTTGCTCGCTCTAGGGCTTGTTGCACAGCGTGCTCAACTCGGAGTTCGATCGTTTCACGCGCGCGTCGTGCCTTGTCGAGACCGCCGTCTACCACGCCCTTTGCAATTTCAATTCCCTCGTCCATCTTTCTCCGACCTTCCTCATAGACTTCTTGCGCATAGGAGCCGATGGATCCGTCTCTTATAGCATATGCGCGCGTCTCAAACTCGGTCAGGTAGTTGTCCATGAGCACTATTCCTTCCAGGACTTTCTCCCCGAATGTCTCCTTCCGTTCCATTGCATCTTTGTATCGTCCCTCCAAGGTCTCGACGAAGACAGAAGCCTGCCGCCGTCCGGCCTCGATTGCGCCGTCGGACATTTTCGAGCAGGATTCGCGGACGGCGAGCAGTGTGTTGTATGCGTATTCAACTCCGGCATCGTATTTGAGGTGGCCATAGTCTTCCAGAAAGTCCATGCGGCAGTTAAGTTCGACGAGAAAGTTACGAAGCTGCCGTTGTTAGCAGACTGTTGAGCGCATGTGCGCTGTATAACTTACCAAGACCTGGAAGTTCTCTGCTTCCTGCATGCAGGGGCGTGTGTGCCATGAGTGTCGTCTTTGGCGTTGCGCAGGTCGCTGGGAAGCCATTGTGCCGTAGCCTCGGTACGAGGGCTGTATGGGCTCTTCCTGGGAGGCCATGACTGCGGTGCTTACCCCAACGCTCGAGTTGGAGCGCGGCATGAGGGGCATCGTTATATAACTGGCGCAAAGCTGCGCGGGGTTGTTCGAGGCGTGGCGATTTCTCTCGTCTGACCTTCCAATCGATTTCGGGCCCAAACTACGAGGGTCCAGTAAGGCACGGCGAGGTAAGGCGAGGTAGGATGCGGCGATTGGCTGGTCTGCGCATGTGCACAGTAATGTTCTCTGGCTGGGTGGCTTGCGCTGCGTGTGGTGTTGGGGAAGATAAATAGTGAGGATGTGGGTCTTTTTCTCCGCCTATCGGGAAGAACTAGAGACGGGCGTGGTTACCGAAAACGTCTTGGTTGGACAACACAGTTCTTATGCGACGAACAACTAGGGATATCTAGAGGGTGAGCGGAAGCGGAGGTGCGGAGGAGCAATTGGGCGCAGAGGGCCGTAGGTATATGCGTGAAGTCCGAGTGTTGGCGTCGTCATGGGACAACCGCGGTCAATTCACTGCCGGTTCCTTGCAGCTGACGGACCCTTTTTTTGCGGCTCTCGTAGGGCTGCAATGCGGTACTTTCGAGTGAAGATGAAAGGCTTCCTTGCAGAATTCATGTGCGCCTCCTTTAATACAGACCGTTACTCGATGCATGTGGATTATCAATACCGGCCAGCTCATGTTGGTCCGGCTAGAACAGCGAGGCCGTGGCCTATACCGGCAGGTGCGTTGCTTGGTGGCTGGAGCTAGCCTTGGCACCGAGCCACACGTGGCTAAATTTCGTCATTGCGTGCCGTCATGCCGAAGCGTCGAGAGTTAGGGATCGTGGAGTAGCAGCGATGCATCGATGCCAGGCGGTGGGCCGTGTATGTTTTGTCCGGGTATGTCGTGTAACCTAGATGAGGCCGCACGCATGCCTGGGTTCAGCGGCTCCCACGTGTTAGCGTCAGGGCCCGCGATGGGGCTGTTGACACCCAACGCTCACCATCCAGAAATTTTCTGCCACGCATTCAAGTGACACACCATTCTACGAATCCTTCAAAATGGTACTCCAGGCGATTAAATACTCACGCGGCCAGCTCGAGATTCTGGACCAGTTGAAATTACCGCATGCTGAAGAATATGACCACATCTACTCCAGCACTGATGCATGGCACGCCATCAAGGAGATGCGGACGCGAGGTGCACCAGCCATCGCCATAGTCGCTGCCCTCGCCCTCGCAGTCGAACTCACCAACATGAAGCTCTCATCGGTAGCTGAGGAGGTCGAGATCTTCATTACAGAAAAGCTGGACTACCTTGTGACCAGCCGACCAACTGCCGTCAACCTTGCAGATGCAGCAGGCAAACTTCGAAAGATTACAAAGGAAGCTGCTGCAACTGAGGAAGCGAGTGGAGAAGCCGTGAGAGATGCGTACGTGGCTGCTGCGGAGAAGATGCTGGTTGACGATGTGAGCGATAACGAGAGTATCGGCAAGCATGGCGCAGAGTGGATAGTCAAGAACACGGAAGCAGGAAAGAAGGGACCTGTGAGCATGATGACGCACTGCAACACAGGGTTTGTACCATTCTGCATCATCAACATCCATCGGCTAATCCTACAGGTCTCTCGCAACTGCTGGATATGGCACAGCGCTTGGTGTAATCCGCTCACTACACGGCAACGGATCTTTGAAGCACGCTTTCTGTTCTGAGACACGACCATACAACCAGGGCTCTAGGCTGACTGCGTTCGAATTGGTTCACGACAAGATACCAGCAACTCTCATCACTGACTCCATGGCGGCAGCGCTACTCCGACTTCGCGGTGAGAGCGAGAACATCGCGGGTATTGTGGTTGGAGCCGACCGTGTGGCTGCGAACGGTGACACCGCCAACAAAATTGGAACTTATTCATTGGCCATTCTTGCAAAGCATCATGGTGTCAAGTTCCTTGTTGCAGCACCAAGAACTACTATCGACCTGAAGACCAAATCGGGGGCCGACATTGTCATCGAAGAACGCCCCGGACAGGAAGTGACACTTGTCAAGGGACCTAGACATGATGGCGTTACATTGGATCTGGGTGTTGTCGAAACTATCAGCATAGCGGCGAATGGTATCGGGGTGTGGAACCCAGCCTTCGATGTAACACCTGCAGAGCTCATTGATGGCATCATCACCGAGGTAGGCGTGGTTGAGAAGGACAGTAATGGTGTATTCCATTTGGATGAGGTCTTCAAGGCGCAGGGGTCTGAAGTAAAACCTTCGACTGTCGGTGGCTTATAGACAAGTGTTTAGGACATTTGGAAGCGCAGAACGTCCTCCATCAATCCATCGTTGGAACTGTCCCTTCTGCTAAGAGCACATTATGTATGCTTATGTCCTGCCTCGCCACCCACGACCAAATTGCTCGTTAAACTCGTGTCCGTCGGTCATGATGCCCGTACGTTATGTGGCGTGTTTCTCATCTTTTCAGAAAGTATGTCCGCGCGTATGTCGTATACATGATATAGCAGGCGCATGCTGGGTAGACATTATGACGAGCCTTTTTCTTCGCTTGAAGGCTTCTCGTCCTCTTCCGGAGTGTTTTTCAGTTCCTGCTCAGCCTTCTCAGCCTGGGCCAAAAGCGCCTCGATCTGCTTTTCGATCGAATCGAGGTGGTTCTCCAAGGCGGCGGCAGTCTGTTCGCCTCGCTGCAGGTCCTTGAACGCCTACCAGAGCTGTTAACACTTAGAACAGAGGGACTTCCGCCAACTTACCTGGGCGAGTTCGGCCTGTGACTGCGGGCCAGCGCCTGTTCCGTTCTGGGCATTCGACATTGTGGAGATGGTGCAGGAAGTCGTGAATGGCGGGCGCCCGTTGCCGAGGAGGCAAGCGCGTCCTCGAAGATGACGACTGACGGACCTTAGCGCGAACCTACCCATGGATCTCCAGGGCTGCGAGCTGCACAGACTCGCAACCAACCCCATTCCACCTTTCACCATTCCCGCTCGCGCGCACTCCTTAGACCTTTCTAATTCTCCCACCGCATGCGCGCATCTCTCCTTTTCTAATCGACCCGCGCCACCTCGCCCACCATGTTCTCTGGGTCCAACTCGTACTTAGGGGGTGGGAACAGTGCCCGACCGGGGCAGCCTCAGTATGGGCAGCAGCAGCAACAGCAGCCCTTCCAGCAGCCCGGCGGCTTCCAGGGCGGACTGGCACCTCAGCCGACGGGCTTCGGAGGAGGGCCAATGCAACCAATGCAACAACAGTTTACTGGCTTCCCGGGCCAGCCGCAGGGCTTCGGACAGCAGCCGCAACCGCAGCAACCGCAGTACACGGGCTTCCCAGGGCAGCAGAGCCAGCAATTCCAGCAGCAGCAGCAGGCTCCCCAGCAAATGCCCTTCCAGACTGGCGCGCCGCCGCCGCAGCAGCAGCAGCAACCGCCTGCCCAACCGCAGCGGCCGCAGCCCACGGGTATGACATCGGCGCAGATGGCTGATTCATTCCGCGGCAACTCTGCGTCTTCCGTGCCACCGCCTGTCCCGGCCAAGAGCAGCAAGATCCCGAGCATAAGGCTTTCCTTCATCACGGCGCAAGACCAGGCCAAGTTCGAGCAACTATTCAAGTCGGCCGTGGGAGACTCCCAGGCTCTGTCTGGCGACCAGGCGCGGGATCTCCTGATGCGCTCCAAGCTATCTGGGGACGCGCTTTCGCACATCTGGTTTGTTGCACGAATCGCATACGTGGCCCCATTCTAACAGATGCAGGACCCTTGCGGACACGACCAAGTCTGGCCAGCTCCTCTTCCCCGAATTCGCCCTCGCCATGTACTTGTGCAATCTCAAGCTGACCGGAAAGGATCTGCCCAACTCCCTTCCCGAGCGAGTCAAGAATGAGGTCTCTAGCATGGTGGACATCATTTCATTCGGAGTCGTGGACGAATCGTCGAACCGCCAAACGCCGGCCACCAACGCCCCCAAGTTCAACGAGCCTCCTACAATTCAGCAGCCGCAGCCACAACCTTCAAACAGCCAGTTGCTGGGCTCTTTAGCCCCACAGCCGACTGGATTCGGACAGCAACCAACAGGCATGCAACCACAGCCTACCGGTTTTGGTCAGCAGCCTACGGGTATGCAGCCACAGCCCACTGGCTTCGGGCAGGCTCCAGGCGGTTACAACGGACCACGTCCGCCGATGCCTCCTATGCCCACTGGATTCGGCTCAAATCTCGCACCCAACCAGACCGGCATGGCTCCTCTCAATGCTCAGCCGACGGGCATGCCTGGTCAATGGGGCCTAGCAAACACCCCCACCACCGGGCTACCAAACATCGAGGCTTTGGCGCAACGAATGATGCCCCAGACGGGCCGAGAGGGCGGCAACCATACGACTGCTGGTTTGACCGGCAACGCGACCATTCCGTGGGCTATTACAAAGGGAGAGAAGAAGCTGTACGATGACACCTTCAAGGCCTGGGACGGCATGACCAAGGGTTACATTAGCGGAGCTCAAGCTCTTGAGATCTTTGGACAAAGTGGATTGCCCAAGCCAGATTTGGAGCACATATGGACACTTGCCGACTCTGCTGACAGGGGTCGTCTTGATTTGGACCAATTCGCCGTTGCTATGCATTTGATCTACCGCAAGCTCAACGGCTATCCCATTCCAGCCCGTCTCCCCCCGGAGTTGGTTCCCCCTTCTACGCGCAACATCAATGACTCTATTGGCGCGATGAAAAACTTGCTGCGTGGAGATGCCGAGGACAGGAAGAACTCTGGTGCTTTCCTCCAGCCCCAGCGCACTGGTGTCAGCTACCTGAAGTCCCACTCGTTCCGTGCTGGTAGCCCACAAGCTGGCGGCCGAAAGGATGCTACGGTATTCCGTAACAATGACGATAACGTAGGCTACAAGTCGAGCGCCAGACATCGCCTTGGAGGTGGTGGTCGCTCGCCTTCACCAGCGCAGCCGGCTTCACCATCCTCTGAGCGATCTGACGAAATGTCCCTTGACCAGCTCAGGAAGTCTGTCAAAGAGAAGCAAATCTTGTTGGATGCCATGGACACACAAGACGAGAACGCCGCTGACGAGGATGATGCGCTCGATCGTCGAGATCGCCGAGAGGCTGAAGATCTCTATCGCCGCATTCGCAGGGTGCAAGAAGACATTGATGCTCACCCTAAAGCTTCACTGAGATCGTCTGACTCGGATGCGGAGCGCCGTGCCCTGAAGCGCCAACTCCAGACCTTGACTGATCGCCTGCCCGAACTTGCTTCTAACGTGCGCCGAACTGAGCGTGAAATCGCAGACGCCCAGCTCGAACTCTTCAGACTCAGAGACGCCAAGGCGCATCCCGGATCCGCATCCACCATCGTGGGCACTGGACCTGGCGGTGCCGTGACTGAATCTGATCGATTGAAAGCCCGCGCCAAGGCTATGATGCAAGCACGCTCTGCTGCCTTGACAGGTAGGCCTGCACCTGCCAGTGACGACACTGGCGCAGCAACCGAGCGCTTAGAAAAGGAAACTTCGCGCATCCGAGCAGAAAGAGAGAACAATGAGCGCATGATCCGCGACGTCGAAGACAGCGTGAACGAATACACGAGGGGCCTGGAGTCGAGCCTGAAAGAAGGAGGACACGACAACACAAGTGAACACGAACGTCGTAGATGGGAGGAAGCTCTGGGTGTTGAAGATGACGTTAAGGACTTCATCTTTGATCTACAGCGCAGCAGTCGCGCTTCGCGTATCCGCAAAGACGAGTAAGTGTCATGTGACAATTATCAGCAGGCATCGAACTAATTTCGTACAGTTCATCTCGCGACAACTATAGGTCTAGATCAGCTGCTCGTGTAGAGGACAACCGACCATCGTCATCACGCTATGAGAGTCCTGCTGGTCGTGTCGAGCCTCCTCCTCGCGCATCAACGACTACGCCCGCCGGTGGCTCGTACTCGGCATACAAGACTCCAGAGGAACGTGCGGCCTTTATCAAACAGCAGGCTGAGCAGCGAATGGCTGAGCGTTTGGCTGCCTTGGGCATTAAAGCTCCAGTAAAGGCTGGCGAGACACCCCAACAGCGTGCCGACCGTGAGAAGAAGGAACGTGAAGAGAAGCTACGCCAGGCCGAAGAGGAGGATGCGCGTCGCGAGGAAGAGCGTCAAAGACGTCTCAACGACGAATCTGCAGCACCGCCCGCTCCATCCAAGAGCAGTGGTAAGAAGCCAGCGCCCCCACCGCCAGCTTCGCGCAAGAACAAGAACGAGATTGCGCAGCACGACGTTCAGCAAGCAGAAGCAGAGTCGAAGAAGGCAGACAACGACATGGCTGAGAAGGCTATCCGCGAACAGCAGGAGGCCCAAGAAGCCGAGACGAAGCGCATGGAGTACGTATACCTCAATATATATTTTGAAATTGCGCTAACAAACACCAGGGATGAGGAACGCAGACAAGAGGACGAATTGGCCAAGGAGCGGGAGTCCGCTTCAGCCAGACTTCGCGCCCTGGAAGAGCAAGTCCAGCAGGGCAAACTCAAGAAGGCCGAAGAGAAGAAGCGCAGAGCGGCTGCTTCGAAGGACGCCAAGGAGAAGGAGTCCCGACTGGCTGCCCAACGTGCGGAGATTGAAGCTGCTCGTGAACGCGAACGTCAATTGCAGATGCAGCTTGAGGCGCTCGACGATGACGAGTCGTCGGATGATGATGGCCCGCAAAACATCACTCCTCAAGACACCACTCCTACCGCCAGCCAGGAGTTGCCGCGTGACGCTGCACCTCCTCAAGCGCCACCAATGCCCCAGATCTCGCACAACACACCACCATCATCCATTGCCAGTCCGCCTACGTCTTCGGTGACTAGTCCTCACCCTGGCATGGGCGACACCGAAACCAAGAACCCGTTCTTGAAGAAGATGGCCATGTCCAACCAGGAGAACAGCACCGTCTCCACACCTCCGCCCCCACCTAGCAACACGAGCGAGGTTTCCACGAACCCTTTCCACCGTCTGACACAAGAAAATGCCAACAAGGCTGCCATGCCTACGTTCAATGAGCCCGCCGCACCTTCAGCGCGCAGGTTGGGAAGGCAAGACGACGATGACTGGTCCGTCGTTGACTCAGATGACGATTCGTCCGACGACGACGAAGCGCCTACCCAAGGCGGAGCCAAGCAGCTGGCCTCCATGTTGTTCGGTACCATGGCGCCACCGCGCCCTCTCTCCTCCATGGACAACAAGAGCCCACGTGCCGAGAGCCCAGCTGTGACATCGCCTCCAGCAGGCATCCCCCCACCTCCACCGATGCCCTCGAACGGTGCACCTCCGCCCCCACCTGGCCCGCCGCCACCTCCGGCTGGTGGAGCACCACCGCCACCCCCAATGCCTAGCATGAAGGCTCCAGGTGGAGCACCAAACCGTGGAGCTTTACTTGGCGAGATCACTGCGGGTAAGGGATTGAGGAAGGTGGAGACCAAGGACAGGAGCACAGCTTCTACTGCTGGTAGGGTTTTGGGTTGATTCGGTAATTCATAGACTTGTAGTATAATCGCGTTTTGTGTACAATTTGAAGTCGAAGTTGGTTTTACGTTGCTAATACATTACATGACGTCCGTGTCGTGATCTCGTACTTTCTGTCGTTCTACACATGTACTAGATAGCACTTACTAGATACAATGCGCCGGATAAAGATATACGCCATCACCACTTACCCCTCCCGAGGTCTCCAACAACATCATATCTCAACCTCTAAACTTCGTAACCACACATCGATTGAACCTACACCTATTTTGTTACAATTCAACGCCCATAAAGCTGATCGCCACCAAGCAAGCCACCTTTCAAAT